TGTGTTTGGTTTCAATTTTTTGGATTCAATTTTTTGGAAATTGTGTTTTTTATTTTTTTTATTTTTTAGTGAATATTTAAAAATTTTAAGCATTTTTTTTTTAACTTTTTTATATGCATCTTACTTACAAGTATCTAAAAAGTAAAATATTTATTAAAAAATATTTTAAAAAATAATAAATATACAAGAATACGAAAATGTATTGAATTCTCTTTTTTTATATATATATTTTTGGCATTTAGTGAATTTTTTTAAGATCCTTTTCACAAATATTGTACTTTTTAAGTGTATTTATATTAGGTATATAAAAATTAAAAAAAAAAATTACTCAAAATATTAAAAAAATTCAGTAAAAATAAAAAAAATACAAAAAAAAAATTAATTTTTGAAAAGTGAATTCTAAGCCTCAAACCAAACAATTAACTTAATATAAACTCTTGTGAAGAATATCCAATTGAGTTTTTCTTATATAAACTCTTGTGAAGAATATCCAACTGAGTTTTTCTTTTGACATGGGAGGACTCTTGACCGACATCACACTGGTGTCAAACTACGAAAATGCCAAGAAATGACCACAATACTCAAATCAAATAACTAACTAGGTTAATCTAGAATACCAAGAAATGACCACAATACTCAAATCAAATAACCAATTATTTTAAATTAAATGAAAAGAATGTTATTATTCTTTTTTGGTTTTGAATTCAACGGTGAGTGGTATGTGAATCAACTTATACACATCTTGATTAATTCTCGTCCCAATCCTATCCAAGTTACTTTATTGCACTCCCCATCCCAACACGATCAAAGTTACTTTCTCACAGCTTAGTCCCAAGAATCGAATCCTGAGTAATTATGTAAGAAACACACACACTAACCACTTTGTTTTGGGTATTTTACAACTATATTTATTTGTAGATATAAGAGCATCTCAAACATTGGATCAAAAATTTCATTAAATTTGAAAATTGATGAAAAGTTTAATTTGATACCGTTCACTCCAATACTAAAATTAGAATTTTTATCAGATTTTTTCACATCTCTAGTTGTTTAGAAGGACGTCTGAGTGGATGTCCTAAAGGTCATCCGAATATGAACAAAAAAAAATGTCAAATTGTCTTAGGTGGACATTCGGGAGGACATCCAGGTGGACATCAGATCCAATGGTAACAATTTAAATTTGATGAATGATCAAACCTCCCCCATTTGATAAAATATCCACTTCTCCCTCTATTTGATATCATTATGACGAAAATATTAGAGCTCACTTTTAAGACTTTTTCATCAAATTTGAATTTGATGACAAATTTAAGTAAAGGTTGGAGATGGTCTAAAAAGATCAACATTATGAGAGGATTTTGGCATATATTTTGGTTAACGAGTAAACTCCCTAAGCTTGTCATCCTTCAATTTCAGAATCAACTGCCTAATGTTAGTTTAACCAGAATAAGATGAGGGACAAATCTCGAATGTGTGCATTGACTCCACAACACACACACCATTTAAGTCAAAGAGTGCAACTGTAAGGATTCGACCTTACACCCAAGCCCTAGATACGGTTTGTCCAGCACTTATAGAGCCATCCTAGGACGACTGAGCCAAATCCCAGGGTGTTGGCCCTGGGAAGAATAAAATCTGGGATCTCAAGAGTTATGCCCTAAAACCTTATCAAAATGCCACAATCCCATAAGTTGCCCTTTGACATATCACTAAACAGAAATATGATATACAAACATGACTTCTTTTGATTTTTTTTTTTTTAAATATCAAATCAAAATTACTACTGTCATAATTCATAAAAAAAAAATTACAAAAAAGGTTGAATGAAATTTTTTGTTCATAATTTATTTTTTGGGGAGGTTAAATATGATAGTTAAAAAAGGACAAGTTGATGGTTATCTTACATGTCTATATTCTTTAACTAATCATTATTTAACATATTTTTTATATTTTTCAATCATCCAACATAATATCCCATCTATTTATATTTTTTACTAATCATAATATTATAAAACAATACCCTTCTATGTAATTACTCAATAATTACTCCAACCAACATCATGACGACAATAATACCTCACTGTCTAATCCAATGCAATGCAACTACCCTTATAAAACCCACCTACTCTTCACTCTCTCATATCACACACTCTTCGCTGCCATTACTTCGCAGCCAAACCATACCATACTATACCATAGTAAGTAACCATTTGCAGAGACCAGAGTGGTGAGAATGGCCACCATGAACCTCCCTTTCTCTCTCCTCCTCCTGCTCCTCATTACCTTCCTCTCTCTCTCCTCCCAAACCCACTTCTCCGCCGCCGCCAAGAAACCCATACCCTCTTCCTCCTCCTCCCAAGACCTAGTCCGATCATCATGCGTCCACGCCAGCTACCCCAGCATCTGCCTCCGAACCCTCTCTTCGTACTCCGGCGCCGCCAACACCCCAAGAGACCTAGCTCAGGCCGCCGTCAAAGTCAGCCTCTCCAGAGCCCGTAAAGTCTCCGCCTACTTAACCACCGTCAGGGACGGCGTCGGAGCAAGCAAGAGAGAGCAGGCGGCGGTGAGAGATTGCGTCGAACAGGTGGCGGACTCGGTGAACGAGCTCGGAAAAACGCTGTCGGAGCTCCAGCACCTCCGCGTCGGAACATTCCGGTGGCAGATGAGCAACGCCGAGACATGGGTCAGCGCCGCCTTGACGAATGAGGACACGTGTCTTGATGGGTTTAGAGAGATTGATGGAAAGGTTAAGTCTGATGTGAATAGGAAGATCACCAATGTGGCTAGAGTTACTAGTAACGCACTCTACCTCATCAACCGCCTCGATCAATCTAGGCCTTGAAAATATTTTACTATGTGATTCAATTTATATATATATATATATATATAGATCAATTTAAAAAGTAAATAATAAAAAAGGTAGAAGAGAATGAGAAGATTATGTTGCACTCGTAGTACAACAATAATACTCAAACTCAGACATCGGTCACGGGCCAACCCATTGTCTTAATCTATGTCTATTATAGTATATAGTTATGCAGCTCTGTGTGTAAACTTTTTTTGGTCTTTTTTTTGTCTTTCTGCAGCTGTGCATATACTACATATTAATGAATGAAAAGAGTGTTATAAGGGTCTTCCAAAATGTAGTACTATTCTCTTATTTTCTTTTGACTAATGCAATGCACATAAAATTTGTACTATGCGGCTTCTTCACATGCATTTGTTAGAAAGATTCACATGCCATACCAACAAAATTTATATAAATGATTTGGTTGAGTTTGGCACCTATTATTTTCCTATCTCCCAAAAAAAAAAATAATAATAAAAATAAAATAAATAAAGGAACAGAGCACCTATTATTTTAAAATGAAGAATTCATCAAAATGTTCTTCAGCTACCAAATGTCAATATTATATCATTTTCGTAAAAGATATTACTCCCATTTTCTTGAATCTTTATAAAGACATACATATGTATATGTATATAGGTACTTTTATTTACACCTTATTTTATCTCATTACACCCATTTATAAAAAAAATTTAAAAATCCATATTCTCTCTACTATCACATATCTTAAACCTATCCTTTCGCCGCCCTAGATATGTTAGCACGGAAGAAGCCTTCAATGGTAGTACAAAGAGAGGCAAAGTGGTGATTTTAGGGTTACTTTGTTTAGACTGACTGGATAAGGGAAATTATAATTTATCGGACTATTAATTCTGAGATATATTATTCTGAGAGTATTTGATTGGATTAGATTTGTGTTCTATATTTGTTTAGTCATAGGATTACATGTCTGTATTAGACTATTTTTAGTTATTCAATGTTTGTTTGGGATATTATGGAGAAGGATAAATGTTCAAATAACTATTTTATCATTTTCAATTATTTATTAAGTGATAGCAATATTAAACATAACTTTAATATTTTAATTATTTTTAGCTAGATTAAATAAAAATTTGTTTTATTTTATTTTTTGCACAATATTTTAATTATTTTAATTTATTATTTTCAATTAAATTAAATTTACAATTTATATTTTTTATTTAATATATAATTTAAAATTAACGACAATAAAAAAATAATTTTATTTAATATATAATTTAAATTTTCAACAATACTAAAAAAATTTAATTTTAAGGTCATAATTTATAATTTATATTTTTAAATAAAATTAATTTATATTTTTTATTTAATATATAACTCTAAATTAACAACAATAAAAAATAATTTAATTTAATATGTAAATTTAATTTTTTAACAACACTAAAAAAATTTTAATTTATAAGGTCATAATTTAATTTATTTATTTTAATTAAATTTAATTTATAATTTATATATTAAAATTTTTTATTTAATATATAATTTTAAATTAACAACACTAAAAAATAATTTATAAATGTTCAAAAGACTATTTTATTCTTTTCTAATTGTTTGCTAAGTAATAGCATGGAGGGTAAAATAGACATTTCACAAAATAATCTCATGGGATACTAATCCCATGGTTTCTATCCCCCCACCCGCCATGGAATAGGATAGTCTCATATTTGTGAGTATTCTAATCCGGAACAAAAAAAATGAAACAAACAATGAATTATTAGTCCAGTAGAATTAATAGTCTAATTCCACCCTCTAATCCTTCAAAACAAACAACACCGTCGGGTTTCAGGGTGTCTGGAGAAGGAGGGATTGTGGGTTGCATACAAATGGAGAGGCAAAAGGAGAAGTGGGTGACAGGAGTAAGGGTTGGGATGGAGGGGCTTGTAAGTGGGTGGCCGGCAATGGGATAAGGAGAGAGTGGATAGGTGTGTAAGAAATTAGGTTTCATTTGGTTTAGTTTTTAATCATGATTTTAAGTCTTGAATATTTTTCCCCTCCAAAAAAAAAAAAAATTGTTAGATTATGAGTTTTGAATAAAAAAAGAATGAATTATAATTTTGAGTTTTAAATTATATTTTGAGTTATTTGAATTTTTGAGTTTTGAGTTGTATTTTTTTAATTTGCACTGTATTTTTTTAAAAATATTTGAGTTGCAATTTTTTTAAATATTTAAAAATTTATTTTTTATTTTAAATATATAATTTTTACTTTAAATATTTTTTTATTTTTGTATTTTAAATATTTTTTACTTTTTTTTAAATTAAAAAAAATTTGGATCACCATATATATCTAAATCATAACCAATTATTTGGCCAATACCTAAAAATTAAAAAATAAAAAATATTTTTTTTTTCAAAAAATAAAAAATAAAAAATAATTTTAAAGAACAAAATTTAAAAAAAAAATTGAATTTTTTTTAATAGAATTTTGAAAAAAGTTTGATTATAAATTTTTAAAAAGAGTTTATTAATTGAGTTTTGAATTATATCTTTAGTTATGAATATTAAAAATAATTTTTAATTTGAGTTTTTAATTGAATGTTTAGTTGTACATTTAAAAAGGGCAATGCTAGAGGGCCACAATTTTTGTGGCTCAAATGGCTCAAAACTGTCAAAACGATGTCGTTTTGAGCACAAAACATGCCAAAACGTAGTCGTTTTGACAATTTTAAGCCATTTGAGCCACACAAATTGTGGCTCTCAAACATTATTCATTTAAAAAAGAGTTTTGAATTTTTTTATTTTTTATTTTTTTTTATCAAAATCACGATTCCAAAACAAAGATACAACCTAAGATACAACCTCCCTGAGATACAACCTATGTACCAGGAAAATAATGTAAGAATAAAATTGTAATAAAAATATTAAAAAATCATGAGCGCAAAGAGACAAATCAACGACATAAATAAAAATATGCCAGATCTATCCATTACTTTTGGAAATATGACATAAATAAAAATATGCCACACTTTTTCTTCTATGTATACATACTTAACACAAAAAAAAAAATTAATGACAATTTTACCACGAAGCATAATAACCATAATGGACATCAACACACATTACAAATTAAATTCAGATTTTTTGTGTACACATCTTTAAAAAATAATAATTTTCAATGCATATCTTTTAAAGAAACAAAAACAAAAACTTAGTTCCTCCATTGTTTTTCACATCCTTTATTGTTCTCCGTTGCTTGCTACACTCCATTGTTACACTATCCATTGCTTGCATAAACCACTTTGATATCAAGTACCGAAAAATTGAAAAACATTCGAAACTACAAAACCAAATCAATTTAAAAATTCAAAAATTAAGTATAAAAAATTTATAAATAATTCGAAAGTACATAATTGAAAATGTATGATAATTTTAAAAGTAAACGATCGAGAAAGACTATTTTATTCGGAAAACTAGTATCGAATGAGCAAAACTTCTTTCATTCGAGAAAAAATCAACCTATTTTATTCGTAATTCCTAAGATTTTTCTTTGCCCCTCCCAACAGAACTCCTGAGTCTGTAAAATTCTATGCTTTCCATTCGCAATTTTTGCTTCCGATTTTCTACAATTCTTTAGGGTTACTTCTCGTTTCTAAATATTTTTTCTAATTGATCTCTCAGTTCCTTCAGCTTTCAATGGCTGCCAACAATGCCCCCTGCCTAGAAAAAGAACAGGTACTTCACACATATACAAACGCTATATATGTATGCCTATGAGATAGACAAAACTATTAACTGGAAAATAGTACTTTTTTTATGATTTTGTGCAAATATTGGATTGGCAGAGATAGAAATGGAGTACAGGGTAGGTTTGTTTAACAAGTAGGTGTATCAATCTGCTATGTGATTTGATTAGAAATGGCTCTTGCTTCCTAAAGGGTCTTCAATGGAGTTGTGGTTTGCTGCCATGGGTTGGAAAAGTTGAGTCTACGAAGGGCTTGAAGCTGTGGAAAATCTATTTAGATGGTGTGTGTACAGGATGGAGTTGGAGTTATAATTAGAATATGTAATGTGTGGAATGAAAATAATAACATATAATTAAATTCATAAGTGTGTGAGTGTGTGCCCTGAAATATGATGTGCACAGAAATAAAATGATACGTGAAAATAAATTGGTTTGTTGACAGAACTGCACATACCAATTATTTATTTATGACTAAATTACACTCACCTTCACAGAGGTTTCTAATAATTATAGGAATCTCTCCTGTAGTTTAAAAAATTATGCAATTCACTCTTATTTTTGAAATTATTATTAAGATTCCCTTACCGTTAATCTTTTATTAATTTATTTACTATGAGTAAAAATTTCCAAGATTGTCCTTATATATTCAAATAGTAAATTTTACTCACCTCCTCTGAGGTTTTACAAAAAATTAATAAAGATCCATAAATTATTTTAATAATATTAAACAAAATTATTAAGTTCTATACAATATTTTAAAAAAAAAATCTAAATTGTTAAGACAAGCATATATATAGTAGAATAACCAAACATTACTTTATCTAAAAAAAAAATTTAAAAAATAAAAAAACTAATAAATTGATCACCATTAAACCTTATACTAGATTAAATACAATTATTTATTTGAAAATTACGAAACAAAGTATAAAAGATGTTTTATATTTTAAAAAGACCACCAATTTTATAAATAATTATTTTGAGAAATTAGAATTTGAATAAAAATTTAAAAATACATATAGGTATTTGATTTTTTTTTCGGTATGAAAAATACATATTTGGAGAAATTATCCCTCTCTTTTTATTTTCTTTATTTTATTTCTTTCATTTTTCTATCTATTTATTTTCTCATTCATTTTTTCATAGTATCACTGCAACAAATAGCAACACCATATAATTTATTATTATTATTATTATTATTATTTGTTCTCTTCTCTACGTTTTATCCTCAATTTTTTCATCTTTTTTTCTCTTTCATCAATGTTAGCTAACTTCACCCAATACCATAGCAATTTACGAAACATGAATTTTTCTTTTGTTTTGTAAACATATTTGTGTATTAAATTTTTTTTAAAAAAAATAAACATAATAACATTTCATATTTATAATTAAAAAAATTGACTTATAAAAATTACCAAATATGTTGCGTCATAAATATATAAAAAAAAAATTATACTATAAAACTTGAAATTATGTTGATTTTTTGTTATTTTTTAAAAAGAGAAAAATATCATTGGCTACTAAAACTTGAAATTTAAAGTTTAAAATTTAAAATTATAGTCAACAAAAATTTATTGAATTCACCTATGATTTAGGAATTTAAATTTCAAAGTTTAAAAACTAACAAAATACACATACTTTAATGAGTTGCTTTCCATAATAAAAATATACTATAAATTTTACCTAGCTAATTAATCTTTCTTTCGATGGGAATTACTAAATCTCTTCCTCCAATAAAAAAAACGGGGGGGTAGCTTATATTTCACTAAAACTAACAAAATACACTATATTTCATCGGAGGGTGAATCGTAAAATAACCAGCAAACAGCCCGAAAACTGGCACAAGTACCTCACTTGAACCTAACAAACTTGTAACATCAGGCAGCACCAAAATACGACTCAAGTTTAGAGATTTCAAAGCAAAATTGTGAATCTTGAGACAAAATGAAAATGAGTTATCAAAAGACAAAATTGTTGCATAGCCCCGAAAATTGGCATGAGCACCTCACTTGAGGCTAAACAAACTTGTAGCAACAGACACAACCTTGATAGGACTCACGGTTAGAGATTTAGGAGTAAAGTTGTGAATCTTGACAAAAAACACTGAAAATGACCCTCGGAAAACAAAATTGTCAAATAGCTCCCAGACAGTCCACAAACTGACACGAACACCTAGCTCAAAACTAAACAGATGTGTAGCAATAGGCGACACCTCGATAGGACTCACGGTTAGAATTTTAGAAGAAATTATGACTTTCTCACTGTTAACCTCCAAAGCATCTTCACTCCAGCGAGTACGCAGACATTTAGGCTGATAGAAAAATATGAAGAGCACAAAGGCTGTACATGGATAGAGGTACTGAGGTTAAAACAAGTTATCACACCAATTCCTCCACTTTGTACTGTCAGAACATCTTCTGTGTGAATGAGCAGACCCATTGGGATGTTTGGTTCGCCAGGCCATCTCTCATCCTAACAAAGCACAACGGTGCTCGTCTTTGGCTGTGGTTTTTGAGCATTGCCTAAAATGGATTTGATTGATAGAATCGTACCTAATCCATCCAAGTCAAACAGAACCCATTAAGCATCCCAGAGCTTGTCCGAAGACTTTTTCTGACCAAATACAAGATCTAAACATCTCAAACAGAAGTCATGTTCAGACAATGAGCCTGAGATGTACTCTGAAGGGCAGCTGATAGTAGGTGACGGAAGGAAGAAACTGACGAGGGAGATGCCACCTGACCCTGATTCCAATGGGAATCAAGCAGGTAGCCACTTGTCCATGAGCTCCTCATGGAATGCTCAAAAGCACAGGAAAATATCAGAAACTAGGTGCGTGATACATCTTTATAATGCAAACGGAGTGGGAAAACAAGTTATCTTTTCCAGTTTCTATAGAATGGTCATACATGGGGAGGGAGTATGTAGCAAAAAGGCAGGTGGGGATGTGAAGAGGAAAGGCAAAGCTTGAGCCATATGCATATCTTGATCGTAAAATGATGACAACAATGGAAGCGAAAATAGACATCAGAAGACAAACAAATTCAGATCTTTCGTCACACTTAATCATCATATCAAACAGGAGCATAAAAGTACAGAAAATCTGACAAAGTGAACCAAAATACACCTAGAAATTGCGAGTCATAGCTTAGCACATCATTGCCCGGTGAAGAAAGTGATAAAGGTAATACAAGTCTCAAAAACAGCGTGCATTGTCTGATTTTTTTCTTTGAAGTAGCTAAAATCCAAGGCTAACAGAAATTTCTTCACTACTGTCATACATGCTAAACTGTTGAATACATGTATCAGTTTTCCTCTACTGATTTTTCTCTTTTGATGGATTCAAATTGAATATCACCATTGAGTAGTTCTTATAACATCACAAAGCGGGGAAAAAAACAAAGGATCAGAGGGATGAGCTTTAGTTACAGTGACAATGCCGATGCTCAGTTTTCTAGTATTCCAACTCCCATGGTAATTCGTAAAACACAGTTACGTGCTTACTCACCTTCAGCATTGTTTAGAGCCCGGTTGGAGAAGCCCGCCATGTCTACTTGTAAGGGGCAAACAAGATTGATGAGTTGTGGCCGCCAAATCCGAATGAATTAGACAATGCCACCTTAATGTCCAATCTTTCTTTCTTCGGACCGACCAGCACATTCGTGTCCTGATTTAATGTGTAGGAAACATTAGATTCCATGCTTATAAATGAGTGTAATTGTTCAATTGGATCTACCATGACACCTCCCAACTGCTCAATTGCAGATGGACGGTGACATTGGTGACATTTGTCAAGCTGTCTAATCGCAAGTCCAAACGTGCTCCTCAAAACCAATTAAGGCCAAGTTTGGCATGCGGCCAAAAAGCCAAAAAGCCAAAAAGCCAAAAAGTTACTCAAAAAGTTAAAAAGTTATCACTATTCACCAAAAGTCAAAAAGTACAGCTACACAACTCCCAATCCTAATTTTCCCCTATACACTAATTTATACAATTTTTTAATACACATTTTTCCATAAAAAGTCAAAAAGTTAGCCCAAACAATCATATTTTTTTCCTCAACTTTTTAGTCTAAAAGGTCAAAAAGTGTACTTATTTAGGACACCCCAAACAACCCCTCACCAAAAGTCAAAAAGTACAGCTGCACAACTCCCAATCCTAATTTTCCCCTATACACTAATTTATACAATTTTTTAATACACATTTTTCCATAAAAAGTCAAAAAGTTAACACAAACAACCATATTTTTTTCCTCAACTTTTTAGTCTAAAAGGTCAAAAAATGTACTTATTTAGGACACCCCAAACAACCCCTTAGAAAACAGTATAGAGTGAATTTAATTGAGTGTTGGATAGCCATTTGCACACTTCCAGGCCATTCCATTTTAACATATCATGAAAAGCCTCGTAAAGCATCATGTATATTCAAAGAGCACATGGGGGGAAAAAACATACCACGCCTTTATCTGGATTCTCGAGATTGATATTTGGATGAACCCACCCTGTCCGTATTGCCTAAATGGAGACACAATACAACGTCAACATCAACCCTAAAAATGGAATAAAAACCAGAACTTTTGACAATAATTTCGCATACTAGTTTAAGCTTGCTATTAAGTTGGTGAACAACCAATCAAACTAGCAAAACAACAAAGTAGATTTGATGTGCAATAAAAACACTGACAATAAACCTACATAACAAGAACCTTTTGATCAGCACACCATCTTAATAATAAAACACTAGTGACAACCTATACATATACTTAACTAACTCATGATTTTGCTAGTGTGATACATTAGGAATGCTTGATATAAACTATGCAATTAGATCATTTCGGTTTCTTCAGATATGAGACTAATGAAAAAGTGAAATCCGTGAGTGAAGCACCATTGGGTCAAATAAAAACATTCCAAGATAGGGTTTAGATTGCCTTCTCACCTGTAGCACCTTGAAGTCTAAAATTTACCATACCATTCCAAGTGACGAAAAGGCCATAAGGTTATTGACATTAGATTTTTAGCATGTGGCAGAAAAAAAAGGATAAAACCCAAGTCATCTTTATCTCTCTAGTTTAAAGAGCCAGAAACTTGGTAAATGTGAGAGAAAAGAAAGGGAGGGAAGAAATTACAACTTTTATCCAGGAATATAGGGCCAATCCCCCAGAACATGCACACAGACAAAAATAAGCATTTGACATTACCTTGTGTAGAAATTTAATGTATAAAGAGAAAAAGAGAATTGTATTATTTAGTGGAGTAGGTTTAAGTGGGTGAAGTAGATGATAGGTTTTAACACCTTGAGATAGAGAAAAGCAAACTGTAAACTCATAATTGTTGAATGGCCAACTTATGGTTCAATGAGCCTAATAAAATCAGTTCATCATAGCATAGCATTAATCATCATCAACCTATGTTACATGGACTCCTTTAAATTTGTGAAATAATTGTGTCAGACACTTGATAAGTTGATACTTTGGTAAGAGTATGGGATATGCATCTGATATGCCTAGTTTGACTTACACCCACTACGTATAAGTTGTCGAGTTCACTATAGAACAATGCATAATACTTCCATATTATATATAAAAATGCTCTATTTTAGTTTGTAAACATTATTTTAGCCTCAAAAAAATGGAAGACAATTAAGAAATTTGAAATCCAATCATGTCCTAGAGTCCTCAACAAGAGAATTAGATGAATCCATACTTAGACACATACCCACAACCAATATTACTTGGGCCAAGCCACGCTCTATTTTAACTAGCAAGGTAGTCCTTGACATTGCTTAAGCCTCTGATAATTTCCAATGGAGAAAAAAAAAAATTGGAAGTTCCCACACTGCTCATTATAGCTGACTTTTGTTAGAAAATATCTACAAGTAGAGAAGAAATTTCATAAAGGCCAATTTAATAAGCATGATCCTACCTCCACAAGATATGAACTGTCTTTTACAGGAAACCAAGAAATTCTCAGTTTTTTCTACAAGAAAAATCCCCATTTCTAGCAACATTTATTATTGCATGGATAAATACAAGTGTGGAGCCGGGGCTAATGACAGCATTATTGTAAATCCAAAGATGGTAAACACGGTGATCTTGAATATTTACCTTAAAACTTGCTAAATTTTTGAGGATGGAAAGATTCCTGCTTAAGGTTCAACATATCTCCCTAAATATTGGGAGGGCCTACTAAGATCCTTACCTCGTTAGCTCAACAATATGCCTATTGTTCAATAACCTGGTGAAGAGGACTGATTCTTAAAAATTATTTTGCAATGTTATGGTTAATGAGTTTTAGAATTATCATTTATCAGAGGTACAGGAAGGCGAGTATTGACAGAGCTATACAAGCACAAGAATGCCCAGCAAAATCATCCTGAGGACAAAATCAAACTAAAGAATGAAACCAAATGCTCAATTTGGACCACCCTCAGGTTGAATTGATGAACAACAGACCCAGAAATAATTTTGGAAAAGCAACAGCATAGAAATCAAAATGGTTCTGACTACTTCCTGCGAATTGTCAAACAAATAAATAGGAACTAGGGATGAGCGACCCATAAATGTAAGAAATTGACCCAGGAGCAGTTGTTTAGGGTAAAAAACCATCAACTTCAAGGTCATCTAAATTTGCATTAGTATCATGATTGCCCAAACAAATTCAACATCTGTGTAACTTTAACAGTCAATCTCCTATTGCCATTGAAGAACCAATAGAAACAACCCTTCTTTTCTTCCCCTAACAAATAGCCCATAGCTAAAATAAAGAACAGCCTTGATATGTACCAATTTATATTAGCAGCTACTAGCTACTTCTTTCATTATAAGTAGCTACTAATTTATACTAGCTAAAATAAAGAATAGTATTATTCATTATAAGCTAGAAAGCGCCATATTCATGTTGCGTAGTGGTGATAAGCCCATACATAAAATGCAATTTATATAGAAGTTTTACAGGACCAAGTTGATAAATCGAGAATTTCTATTAAGAATACAAATTACAGTCATAAACTGGTTACCTGCACAGTTGCAACAGCTTCCACGGCTCCAGCTGCGCCTAGTAGGTGACCAATCATAGATTTCGTAGAGTTAACTCGTAACTGAAAAATAAAAAAAAATAAAATCAATCCCAGCATAGGATAAAATAAAAAATAATGCTATGAAGTATGTGCTTTTATGTAACCTCAGAGTTCTGGCCAAAACAACGTATGAGGGCTTGGTACTCCTTTAGGTCTCCAGCTGGTGTGGATGTAGCATGGGCATTTATGTAGTTCACATCTTCCTTGGACACCCCAGACTGAGCTAAGGCCTTCTCTATACATAGAATAACACCGGTCCCTGTTTACAGACATCAACAAGGGATACTAGACATTTGAATGAAGTCATAGTCTGTATGTATGATATTGTTTTTAAAGTATAAATCAATTACTAATCATCCATTTCTAGGTAAAAATCATGTACATTTATAACTATGTTACATTGGTTATAATGCAAGTACAAAAATTTAACTCGGTTTCAATTTGTTATATACTGAGAAAACTATGATCTGACGATAGAAAACTGTACTAACTGGCAAGTTAAATTTCATCCAGATTTCACAGTGTTAAAGTTCAAGAACAGAATTGAACATGCAAAAACAAAGATTTAATGAGTTTGATAGTCTTTTCTTTTTTTCATTTCTTTTCTTCGTACCGATTATATTATGCTACGTATTTGCAAGTGTTCCCTGGCCATGGGCATAATTCCAAGTAATGAAAGGTATCATAAAAGAAGCTGACGTGCAGTGTTCATGTATGATGCATCTGTTATGCATTTGAAACCCAAGCTTTATACTCGTAGAATTTTCAAAGAAAAAGACTCTGTTTGGTAGAGCTCTCTAAACCTAATTCTACCATTATATTTGAGTGTGGTGTTTGTTTACGGTTTTCAAAAATTAATTCCACTCACTTTTGAAAACTCTGTCCAAGGCGGGAAAATTTGTGCCGTCCTCCCGGACGTCCGGCCGGTTGACCGGAACAGTGGTTTTTTTTTTCTCTTTTGCTTTTTTTACAAATGCCACCTGTTATTTTTTGTATTTTAAATTAAAAAAATTCGAAATTTTTTAAATTTTTTTTATGAGATTTGAATAGAATTTTGAGTTGTGTGTTTGGTTATGAGTTGTAAGTTTTTGTATCAAATATCATGTCACATCAAAATTTTCTCACTCAATTCAAAACTATTTTCAAAACTCAATCACCAAACAAATTTTCCACACTCAAATCATAATTCCAAAACTCAAACTCAAAATATAACTCTATTCTTAAATCATATTTAGAAAACTCTACCGAACGCAACCTCTATATTTTTGGATTAGATATGCATGGTAATAATACTGCTTTTGATACAAATTTCAAAAAGTGAACAGAAGCAAGAAAGAAAAAGTAAAAGTTTGAAGTGATGAAAATCCAGTAAAATCATCCAATATATTCCAGTAAGCTAGCATAAGCAAACAAATTTTAGATTTTACAGTAAACACAAACTTGGGTGTGGGTATCAGGTGTGGGTGCGTATCTGATGGTCGGACACTTCAAAACCAAAAATTGAGGATACGTGGATATGGATCTAAATGTGGATACGGATCCAAATGTGGATACGGGTATAGGGATACGTTAAATAGTTATTTTTAAAATATATTTATTATTTTTTATCTTATATATTATTTTTATTGATAATATTTTTAATAATTTATCTATATATATTTATTTTTTTATTTTTAATTGACATATATATGTTATAAAAAAAAATTATAACAAATAAGGAATAATAAATTATGTTAAAATAAATAATAAATAAAAAATAGATATATTATTTTATAAATTTTTTTAGATTTTTTTATTATATATGATTTAATTAGATTTCTTTCAAATAATTAGATGATTTATTTTATTTATTATATTAAAGCTCTTAGAAAATGGATTTATCAAAAAAGCTCCCAAATAAAAATTATATTAACCATAAAATAAATTATATTATATATGATAAAATAAATAATTTTTATTTTAGGCATAAAAATTATATTATTTATGATAAATTATATTATATATATAATATATTATATAAAACAAATTATATAAACAGAGAGAGAGAGAGAGAGAGAAGCACAAAGACAAAGAGGAGATTGAGAGTGAGAGAAGAAAGAGACGAAGACGATCGAGATCGACAATGAGAGAAGAGAGTGACATAGATAATCTCAGCCCTAATCGCAGCCTCGCACGTATGCCACTGTATCCACTTTCTCCATGCCATATCCCGGCCAGATTCTACACCCGTACCCGTGTCGGTACTTCACCAAATCTAACGAGTCCGTGTAACGTACTCTCTGCCATCATTCAAGGAACATACTGAATATTTTTTTCTAATAATTCCAAAGTAGTTTGTATGTGATACTTATGTCAGTTATGTCATAAAATATGAGTGCAGCTTGACCAAAAAATAAGTTTCAAAGAATCGAAGACCACTAAAAACATAAATGTGTCAACCTAGCATTGCCTGGGTTACCCAAACAACTCAACTTTTAACAAAACAAAGCTGATTCCCCAGCCAGTTCGACTAGCTACACAGGTCTTCTTCTGGGAAACATGCTTTACACAAGACGATCTTGGAGAAGTGCAGCAAAATAAGATCAAAACTTTTAAGATGCACGTTCTAATGTTCACAGGCAGTTAATTAAAGGTTTCCCACAAGATATGTACCGAATGTAAGTCCAGCTACAAGCCTTTTAGACTGCCTATGTACAACTTGACTCATCTCAAGAAATCCTTCTCCCAACTATTTGGCGTTTGGCGACATAAATCCTATCGCACCATTATACTCTATCAAGGACGACCACAACTTTAGTTAAACTACACACTATCATGCGTCTCTTTAACATCTAAAGCCACATAATTTTGGTCATCCTCTTTTCCAAAGACTCAAAGCATTACCCACAATGCAGACAATGTTGCTATTTCTAGGTAATTGGTCCTCATTGCAGTTGGTCAAACCATCGTAGTCAATGCTCTCTCATCAAATTTTAAACATGTGCTACTTCTACCATCTCACAAACTCATTAGTACCGAATTTTATCCTCTTCTATTTTACCACACATCTATGATAATACTCAGATTTCAGCCATCCTAATGTTACGAGTAAGTTTATTAGCCACCCAACATTCTATCCCATGGAAAAGGGCTAGTCTTACTACAGCCATCGTAAAGAGTTCCCTACTAATTTCATAAGAAACAATGAAACACTTCTTCACTTGTACACTTACTTTAATTCTATGGAGCAAAATTAATACTAGCCTCTCCTTTCTTAGGTATTGGCTTTAAGTGATGGGGGATGTGATTGGAATTCATCTTTTCTTTGTTTGTATCACCAAGACACCTATGTACCTCGGGAGATCCGACCCATTTGAATCAAACTAGAAAGAGCACCTATGACTAAGGGGAATGGCAAGCCTAAGTAACCCCTGAGGGGCCATCCAAGCTGGTAAGTGGGTATGCTCCCCCATTACTGATGAGGGTTCAAATCCCCCCTCCCATTTGCCCCATTCATTAGCTTTGGGGGTGGCCTCTAAACCTTGAGTTAACCTTCCTGGGGTGGGGTCCAAGGCCCCCCTGACTAGGATAGGTTCTCAGTCATAAAAATAAAAAAGTAAAAAAAGCCTAAATAACAAACTTGTTTACTCTTTCATATCTTCTATCCTTCAAATTTTATCCGTCCTCCATTTATACATCTAATTTTATTAAAGTCATATGTCATGTGTTCAATTTTACACATATTAAACCATCTAATTCTAACTATTCTCTTGAGCTTCTAATTTAGTATTTACCCCTACTTTAGTTTCACTAACTATAATAATATCTCTATCGAAAGGCATGCACCATGGAGGATTCACTTATTACGTTGCAGTTCATGGTACAATCTTACATGTCCTTTCTCATGTCAAGATATCTAGTTGGGACTCCTTTCTTTCCAAAACCTACCAAACTGTATCTCTAGGATGCTAAGTCCACACACACACATGCACAAAAAAAATAATAACAAATATTTATTCTATTCTCTAAAATTTTTCATTAGTCACTTCTATATATAAGTAGTTTCAATTGCTGACCTCTTAGAGATAAAGTTGGGGCTAAATTAGCCGACTAAATAACAAAATAGGCTAATTTAGCCAATAAGACAAAATGTCACATCCAAACCACAATCATTTCACTTTTTCTCTCACAACAATCACATCCAAGCCAAAAGTCTATCCTAAACGGAACTTTTTTAGCCAGGCTAGATTAGCTCTTCCCAAACAAAGGCATAAACTAATTTCAGATACTATTTTCTCAAGAATCAGAACACGCTCAATTAGTTGCCTAGGCAAGAATATGTGAACAACAGATTGTCAACACTAAAAGCACATGATTCAGAGTTCATACAATATGTATAATAGCATATCGAATACCTACAAAGTTACCCCCCTTCTTCCCAAAAAATTATAATAAATAATTAAACTGAAAAAAAAATGTAGTACACACATAAAACAAAGCACGTGGAGACGAATGAAAGAATACTTGATATCCCTCAGCATTGAGTTGACATTTTAAGATTCTGAGATCAAATGCAATTTTATTTGTATGGTATCACTAGTACATACATTTGGGGCATTACCTTCAGGATGGGGCTCTGTCATGTGGTAAGCATCACAAGTAAAGCTTCCACCCAGAAATTCTGCATAGATATTTGCACCTCTTTCCTGCGAATAGAAAAGAAATTAGCATAGGGGATGAATTCCATATCAGACAGATAACTGATTTTCACATTAATATACCTTAGCATGCTCTAGTTCTTCCAAAAGCAAAACTCCAGCTCCTTCTCCCATGACAAATCCATCACGGTTCTGTTCAATGACCGAAGCAAATGTTAGGCTACGCAGTACTCATAATGCAGATCAAACAAAAAAAAGACCGGGATTGGGATTTCAGGTATGGTTCTCTCAATGATACATTCTAAACGAATGAATGGACAAATTTATAGGGGATGCTAAAAATTCCTACAGTACAAAAAATCAATCCAGATGTAGAAATTTAATGTATAAAGAGAAATGATTGTATTATTGATTGTTGTGTGTTGTGATGTATTGTGTGTACATTATATAGGAGATGGAGATGTGAAGTGGAGGTGGAGTGGTGGAGTAGGTGAAGTGGAGTGTGTAGTGGAGTAGGTGAAGTGGAGGGAGTAGGTGAAGTGGAGTGGTGGAGTAGGTGAAGTGGAGTGGTGGAGTAGGTGAAGTGGAGTGGTGGAGTAGGTGAAGTGGAGTGGTGGAGTAGGTGAAGTGGAGTGGTGGAGTAGGTGAAGTGGAGTGGTGGAGTAGGTGAAGTGGAGTGGTGGAGTAGGTGAAGTGGAGTGTGTAGTGGAGTAGGTGAAGTGGAGCAATATAAAATGCACATCTTTTGAGCCATAATAGTCAACTAATTAATCATGTTAGCAGAACAAACTTACCTGTTGATGTTGTGGAAGAGATTGTATGGTGTCCATTATTGGTGATCTATAGGTCTTTGACAAAGCAATGGCCATATGGTCAACCCTCACCTGTGACAAGCAGCAAAACTTGTAAGAAATATGAAATTCTTAAAAAGGGATATCTGAATCTGATTGCTTTTAGCTGGGCTAACAAAAAGTTTAAAAACTTTATATGGTGAGACAAACAGTTACTGACAAAACATGTTTTTATATCATTAATTTAACTTATTTACGCTTGGAATGGATGAAGTTGATGTAAATAGCAAGTGCCTACAATATCAATTCCTTGCTTTATTAAATCACAAGCTGGAGTTGTCTGTTGATTTGAGTACCCATTCTCTGCTAATGAGAAATCCAAATTGCATGCAGATTCCCTCAGCTCTGCTTGTAGCATCTCAATTGCACTTCTGAAACAGAAAAAAAAAAAAGACGCCAAAATACAAACAATTAGAATTAGCTAGAAATGAGAAAGCTCTACAGCGTTGGCAATCCTAAAAGCTGAAACTTCAGTGTTTCAGCATTGTATAACACTAGAATACAGAAACAAAACATCAGGCAAGCAAAGGCTAAAAAAAAGGCTTGTGAAAGGGAAATTTCATTAGCATAGGAAAGGTTCCCTAGAACAAATTGTTGAACAAGTGAACAGCTGGTTAATTTGTACAGTAAAAATAATGATTTCATGGCAGTCAGCCGAATTACAAAGCATTTCTTCAGTCATATATCAAACATAAGTTGCATCAGCATTCTTGTTGCAAATAGGTCTGAAGAATGAGAAGCTATTTTTTGTGAAGATAGAAGACACAAAAACGAACAACATAAGCGATACAAGTGAAGAGGCATTATATAGTGTCAAGTTCCACAAGTGGAATGAAGATAAACGACCAACATGAGTTTAAGGAAGTGATATCTCGAGAAACAACTAAATAAGTGATGCCTTCTAACCTTTATAATTAGAGCATCCACATAACTGAAAATGGAACGGCCACCAATACCAAGGAAAAATAAAAATCGCAAGGCCATATCCTACTGACAAGCATTAAGGCAATTTCGAAAGACACGAATTCCCTGCCAAACAGATTATACAAAAATTAGCAAAAACAAAATAGTTCATTGTAAATAAGCAGATTGAAGCTATGCCAGAGTAACTTTCAAAAGATATTGACACACAATAAGCTTAAATTTATTTTCTAATACCTGCAATGCAAATGCAACATCTGCTTCATCGACTTTTAGTGTTACTCTTCTTAATTTATCTTCTCGAGATTGACCAAGTTTGAGAAGACCCTGCACTTTGAATCATGCATCTTAGCTTGCCATTTCACGGGGATCGTATCGTATTGCGAAATAAGCTTCATGTGCTCAATCTAAATCTTGTATAGAGAATTATATCCAAAGAAATAAATTCAATCAGAACACGCAGCATATTAAGCTCACCTGGTCACCTAGAACTCTACACATGCATGAAAGTTAAATAATTCGGACTGGTGGGATTAATGTTAATTTGCAGATGTCTACGTATGATTTACTGAGCTGCATTCATATAGAAAACTTACAAATCTCAATTAACTGTTGTACAATGTACTCTTCTGAAGTCTTATTGAACACTATGTCAGATAATATACCTCGCCTATAGTTGTATCCTTCTTTCCCCCACGGAAAAGCTTCACAGCAGAACAAAGCATAATCTGAAGCCAAGGAAAAAACAAAAAACAGAATAATGTTTCTAGAGATAGGTAAGCAAGAGCAAGAAGGAAAACAGCATAAAAACTAACAGGCTACAATTTATCGAAACTGGTTTGGACTTTTGGACAGTGGACCCCAATTCTAAGAGCTGAACAGTGGGCTGCAATAGTATTATGCAAGTTTCCACAAAAATACTTATAACGCTTTTTATGATGCCATCAATAAAACACATCACAAGGCATGCCAAGATCAAAGACAACTTTCAGGAAGTTGAGTTGCCTAAACATAAACATCATTTGATTGATATATATAAAGTGAGGAACATTTGAAATAAGTACATACCTCCCATATTATCATCACTTTTAACATTCACCAGATCTCAGTTTTGGATGAATTTTCGTGATGTTACAATCATAGGGCACACATGCTAGTTTAGTAACTGAATTCAGTTGACACTAGATTTTCAATTACATCGTATCTAGATTATCTTATTAGATCAAAGCATAAATAAAGTCCTTCGAGTCATGAATAAACTCCTTTAAACAGACCCGTCAATATAAAATGCACATCTTTTGAGTCATAATAGTCAACTAATTAATCATGTTAGCAGAACAAACTTAGCTGTTGATGTTGTGGAAGAGATTGTACGGTGTCCATTATTGGTGATCTATAGGTCTATGACAAAGCAATGGCCATATGGTCAACCCTCACCTGTGACAAGCAGCAAAACTTGTAAGAAATATGAAATTCTTAAAAAGGGATATCTGAATCTGATTGCTTTTAGCTGGGCTAACTAAAAGTTTAAAAACTTTATACAGTGAGCCAAACAGTTACTGACAAAACATGTTTTTATATCATTAATTTAACTTATTTATGTTTGGAATGGATGAAGTTGATATATATAGCAAGTGCCTACAATATCAATTCCTTGCTTTATTAAATCACAAGCTGGAGTTGTCTGTTGATTTGAGTACCCATTCTCTGCTAATGAGAAATCCAAATTGCACGCAGATTCACTCAGCTCTGCTTGTAGCATCTCAATTGCACTTCTGAAGAAGGGAAAAAAAAAAAAAAAGACGAAGAAAGAAAATATTGCATCTCTTCATCAATTATAATTCTCAGCATTTTTACTGATTCATGTTTCGGATAAGAGCTTATGAAAACTGTTTTCTAAAACCTAGACAATAATTGAATGAAAGAGATGGAAAGAAAACTACAAGGGATATTGAATATTACAATATCCCATGGGCGTGAAGCTTTTGAAGGATCACTGTTTCTCTGAGAAAGTGCTCTGCATGCCACAAAACCTCCCAATCCTGCACCCGCAGTTGTCATATAAAAGTTAATAACCTCAAAGCTAGTAAGATCAATCAAACCAAACTAACAGATGAAGAAAAAAATTACCAATTGGTATGATAGCAGCATCTGAACCACCACAGAGCATCATGTCCTGCACACTCTCAACAAATGTCAGAGACTAGAGCAGTACAATTGCAATATTCTTGAATGTGCTACAAAAAACCCTACAATTCTACTGCTCAAAGGAGAAAGAATGCAAGACACTTACAGCTTCACCTCTGACGATATGGTTTGCTGCATTTAATATACAGAAGTTGCTTGTGGCACAAGCAGTAGAGATCGAGTAGTTGGGGCCCATCCAACCCTGCAACATGGCATGTAAATGAGCAGCTACATACGAACATGTTTGAATATCCAAAAATATGACAAGTGAATTTTAACTTTGCAGCATCATAAAGTTAAGCTGACCAGATCCATTGCAAGCATGGCAGATCCCATATTTGTAGTTGCAAAAGGTACACAAAAAGGATTCATCTTCCTGTATGAGACCCTTAAAGCTTCTATAGCATCATTGAAAACCTGTTTATTTTACAAATCAACCCAAAAGAAGAAATCAATGACTAAAGTGATGCAATAATGAAGAATGAATCTGCTCCACTGTCCCATCTGCAGATATTGTGGCTCTTGAGAAGCTGACTCCGAAGCCTAGCCTTGCCCTTATTCCAGAATATTTTCTGAGGATCCACGACATGACTACAAATTAATGGCACAAATAGACACTACCCCTACCCTTTTCATGTAAAATTGAGAAATCAGAAACCTATCGTTCCCAATTTAGAGTGCCTAGTGTTGGGGTAAGGGTATATTTGATATTTTTATTGCCCTAATTTTCTATGTATTTATAATTGAGGGGAGGTGGCTATCTCTGTAATTTCTTGTAACTTTTCTGATCACAAAGAAAACTGCAGCAGCCATGGACATAGCCTTAGTTTGGGTGAACCACATAAACCTTGTGTTCTTTGTGTGCGTGTGTGCGTGTGTGAGAGAGAATTATCTTTCATGTGTGTTGTTTGTTCCTTTCTATGCGTCGTGTTTCACCAATCCTGGTTAGGTGTCATGGATTCCTAACACCCAGGTTACTTTGGTGCCTGTCTTTGGATTGCCTCTTCAACTACACATGCAAACCACATGGATAGCAGATGTGACAGGGAATAACAATTTAATGATGCACTCATTGTGTAAACCCAAACTTAAAAGAACATTTAGTAGTAGCTCTTGTAAAATCAGGTTTGCCTCGACTCTCCGTTTTCATGCCATTTGCATTTTCAACGAGAAGATATGCCAATCATTACCTTCATGCCACCCATAGCCGAGCCAATCAAAACCCCACATTTAGTTTTATCTAGTTCGTTCATTACATCTTCTGTAATTCCACCATCTTCCAATGCTTTCTTGCCAGCTGTTAGCATGTAAAGCATGAATTTGTCCATCCTTTTGGAAAGTTTAGGAGCAACCCATCCATCTGTTGAGTAAGACTTGATCTCTCCAGCAATTCTCTGCATTTTACAAATCAGCTATCAAAATCTAAACCAAGAGCCACTTCAGAAAACAAGAGGAATCATCAAGAAGACATACCGTTGGATATTGAGCACAGTCAAAAGCCTCTATTTCACTTATGCCACTGACACCTTCAAGCAGATTATGATAAAAGACATCTGGATCATGACCAACTGGAGTCTCCACACCCATCCCTGTCACAACTACTCGCCTTTGCTTAGTGGGAGGTTTCTTTCTTGCCGTGACTTCCTTTGCAGGTCGCACAGCTACAGCCATTGCTTCCCCTAAAATTTTAATGTGTAAGCCACAGTTGATGTTTGTGTATGTATCAATACATATTAGGTGGGTTGATAGCTATGCAATTACGTGGCCAAGGGCCAAACAGCATAGTAAGGTAACTTAACGTAAAACCAATTTCATGTACAAATTCAAAACTAAACAATGAAGCATTGATCCAAGTACATGGAAATGAAAGAATAATCTCTTTCTACTGGAAGTGCATGCAAGAAGTTAATGGACGTCACAATCAATTATGTGAGAGTCCATAGGCAATCCAGTAAGTCAAGTTCTCAAACAAGAAAACTAGCATCAGGATTGCAATGGACTGGAATGCTATAAGCCTGCGATCAGGAGACAACAGTTGGGATAAGGCAAGAAGGTGGACCACAACTACAAAGACAGTAAGCAGGAAATAAATAAATATCAAGAAAAGTAATATATATTATTGCACCAACACGCATACAGATCAAGGGGTGAGAGAACAGGGTGTTCCGCATGAAATGGAAGTATTAAATGCCAAGCGACTATGCCTCTGCAGAGCTAAAACTTGTAATTCATGCATATATTACCAATAACAAAGTGTTTGCAATTCAATTGAAGCCAATTATAGTTATAAAAAAACAAATTGAAACAAGTTACAAATATGCACAGAAAGACAGTAAATTACAACTAAACCAAGCTCCATAATAAATTCATGATTGGTAAACAAGACAGAAAACTTATCAAACACTTAAAATACCCACATTTCCATTATAAAACTAAATAAATAAAATATCAATTTACAACAAAATAAAATATTTACCCTTCAATTGAAGCAAATTATATTTATAAGAAAACAAATTACATATACGTAGAGAAAAACAGTAAATTACAACAAAACCAAACTCCACAATAAATTCATGATTAGTAATAACCAAAACCAATCACAAAATCTATCAAACTTTGAACATGCCCACATTGCCATTATAAAAAAAACATAGCAATTCACAGTAATAACAAAGTATTTGTGCTTCAATTGAGGCAAAATACAAAAAAGATAATAAAATAAATTACAACAAAACCAAGTTCCACAACAATTCATGATTCGAAATAACCCCAAATACCCCATTTCCATACGAAAAAAATTAGCAATTTCATTTGGAAAATGCAAAAGATTATGCCTAGTCAGTGACACACAATAAACACCAATGTCCGACACAAATATATGACATGATGATTACCGGACTGGACAGCTCGATTGAAGCGTCTCTGTCTGCGAGAGAGAGGAACATTGGTGGATCCAAAGAGAGAAGAGAAACCATTGTCGCCAAAGAAATCAGAAGAGCAAAGACCTTTGGAACTGTAATACTCATCGCAGGGCTCGAAAGGCAAGTAAGAGGACATCAAACCCTGAATGCCCGATGAGATTAGGCGACCCTTGGGGATTTCAGAACAACCAGCTCTGCATTTAGATAAAACCCTCCTCTTCCGAGCCCATCTGCTAAATCGCTTCGACGAAGATTGATTCATCATCATCATCATGGGTTGTTGTTGTTGGTCTTTTTCACAAGCAACGGACATGCAAGCGGCGACGAGCCATGTACACACCACGGAAGAAGCCGCCATAGTTGCTACTACGCACAACAACACTCCGAGAACCCAAAAACCCAGTTCAGAACTACAATCAATCAATCAATCAATCAATCAATTTTTATATGAAAAACAAAAAACGAAATCAATATGAATTTGAGACCAAGAAAACCAAGAAAATTGTCTACACTATTGAGAAATGGGCATTTGGAGATGGGTTTGTTTGAATCTGGGAGAGATGAACAGCAATCAAGAAGGGTATCGAAGTTGTGTCGTCGTCTTTTTGGATCTCTGTTTCGAAACCGTTCGAGACGCCAAGTTTTGGGCAAGCAATCTGAGTCTCTCTCTCTCTCTCTCTTCCCTCTTCTCTATTCTCTCTCTCTCATGTGAGCAACATAGAGCAAAAATGTAATATATGCAATATATTTACCAAATATACGAGAGAATCTACTGTTATGACCAGAAAAATTATAAATGCAATTTATATAAATATATTATTGGATATGAGTTTATAAATATATTATTGGATATGAGTTTATGTTATTAAGGTGTGTGGTGCTCGAACCCTGTAGACCACTCCTATTAAAATTATCAACAATGATAGATACTACTAATTTTGAAATTTTAAAAAGACCACTAATGACATGGTACTTAATAAAAAAAGAAAAAAAATATAACATCAAGATCAAAACATCAAATCATTCCTGATAGGGCCCACTACCATATCATTAGTGATAGCACTAATTAGTGCTCTCACTCATTTTCCTAAAATTACAACAATTTTTTACCCTGCTCTTAATTCTCGTAGGCTGCATTATGATTGGGTTGGGCTTTTCTTTAAGCTTTATGCATCGTCTTTCAATTATTTGAATTATTTATTTTATAAAATTTTTTATATATATTATTTATATAAAAAATTAAATCGATTTGATAATCATAATTTATTTAATTTATTATAAAAAATGAATAAATATATTTTTAAAAATAAATTATCTATTTTTTTTGGTAAATAAAAATAATATGGTGAATAAATTATAATTATTAAATCAACTTAATTTTTTTTTCATAAATGGCATATATAAGGAAGGTTTTACAAAATAACTAGTTTAACGACTTTTGTTATGGACTCCATCACGGTTGAGTTCAAATATTAAACTTGAGAAAATCCCTATCCAAATTGAAGTAATAAATGGTAAGCATATGAAGTTAATGAATATAAAATTACAGCCGTGATTTAGACTCTCTCAAACTTCAACCCCCACCACTCCACACACACGTAACGGGTGGTGATTGGAGGAGAAGAAAAAAAAGAAAAAAAGAAGAAGTGACCAATCAAAAAAGAAAGGGGGTCAAAAGGGGGTGGGGGAAAGAGGGTCCCAATCTTTATTCATAAAATTAATATGATTAACTATATCAATATCTTCTTAATTATTAGTTAATATCACACTCATGTGTTTTCTTTGACAATTAATAAGCTACTACATGTTGAAATCTCAATTATTAAATCCGTGCAAATTTTCACTTTTTAGAAAAGTGAAAGGGAGTAAGAGTGATTGCATTTTAAAAAAAAATCTTTAGAAAATTTACTAAATGTCAAAAATATAAAAATATATATATACGAAAATTCAGTACATTTTTCGTATTCTTCTATATTTATTGATTTTTTAAAATATATTTTTACAAATATTTTACTTTTTAGATACATCTAAGTAAGATGCATTTAAAAAAATATAAAAAAAATTGCTTAAAATTTTAAAAATATTTACTAAAAACCAAAAAATATGAAAAATAAAAAATCAATTTCTAGAAAAATCACACTGAATATTATTGTCATTGTTACAATCACCACTTATATAATTATGAACACATTAATTTTAAAGTTGTAATAAAAAGTAACGAATACATTTTATACTTAAATAAATCAACTTGTTTGGTTTGAATCTCTTTTTTGAACATTGAATTTTTTTTTATTTTTCATAGTTTTTTGTTTTCACTGAACTTTTTTAATATTTTAAGAAATTTTTTTAATTTTTAAATACATTTAATCTAAATATACTTAGAAAGTATAATATTCATGAAAAAAATATTTTAAAATTTCACAAAATATCAAAAATATAAAGAAAATTACAAAAATTCAATACATTTTCCTATTATTGTATATTTATTAATTTTTTTAAATATTTTATTTTTTAGGTACATTTAGGTTAGGTTCATCAAAAAAAAAATGCTTAAACTATTAAAAAAATTCACTAGAAAACATAAAAAAATAAAAATATATAAAAATAAAATCACTAAAATCAAAAACAATTACAAATACAAATACAAAAAATGAAAAAATTGTGTTTTGGGATGATCTAAATAAGTACACTTTTTGACTTTTTATGAAATATGAGTTGGGTATGAAGTGATGTGATAGAAAGGTAATGTGACTTAAATAAGATGATGTGACTTAAATAAGATAGTGACTTTTTGATTTTTTTAACTTTTTTAAGTTATGACAAACAAGCCTTTTTAGAAACTTTGAGTTCAAAAATTGGAATCAAATAAGGTGACTAGTTTTAAAACAAACAGTGTGTCTGATTTGAGTTTTTTGGATTAAGTTTTTTAAAAATTTGAGTTTTTTGATTTTTGTGTTTTTTTTTTTGTTTTTAGTGAATATTTTTAAAATTTTAAACATTTTTTTTACTTTTTTAGATGCAACTTACTTAGATATATCTAAAAAGTAAAAAATTTGTGAAAAAATATTTTAAAAAATTAATAAATACATAAAAATATAAAAAATATACTGAATTCTCATATTTTTTTATATTTTTGGTATTTAGTGAATTTTTAAAAGGTTTTTTTTACAAATTTTTTATTTTTAGGTATATTTACGTTAGATATGTCTAAAAATTTAAAAAAAAAATTCAATATTAAAAAAATTCAATAAAAACAAAAAAAATACGAGAAATAAGAAAGTGTAATTTTTTAAAAAGGACTTTTAGAAAAATACAAACAAGCAAAGTAGTTTTCTCCAGTCATTGCAATGCAATTGTGATCTGAGCAATTGGTTCCACAATATGCTTGTAGGTCAACAATTCTTCTCACAACTACATTTCAATTGACTAGAGAAAGATATAACCCTATTTAATATAGATTTTAAGAATGAATTTAAGAATTTTAAATTTATATATTAGAAATATCATAGTAAATATAGTTATATTTTGCTCATAATATTTTTTTTTCTCTTAATGTTAATATAAATTTAGATTTTACTTTCATTTTCATGCCCGAATTTAGCTTTTTTTATTTAATCCAGTTGACTAGAGTCAAGTTTGATTTCTCAAATAATTGACGTGTTCGAGTTCAATTAATTTTTAGTGAACCAAACTCAAGCACCAAAAACTCAACTCAACTCAACTCTTTTTATTCACAAAAATCAGATAGTATTTTTATCCCACAATACAGTTGTGAGCCCTATAATTTTTCTCACAAAATACATATGTTTTATTTCTACTCAATTATTCACGTTAAAATTAATCTACTTGCAATAATTAAGATTAGCTTTAAAAAGAAGAATCCCAACTTCTTCATTTCAAACCAATAATTTAGATGGAGCCATAATTCTAGTAATGTCATGCAAGGTCATTTCTAAACAAGAGGACAAATAGATAGATGTGAGAACAGTAAAGGAAAACTCCCATATGATTTCGTGACAAAGAACATGATGCAAGTCTCACTTATAGACACGGGGCATGGCAATTGGTATTATGGTTATTGACTTTTTATACCTCTGTGTTTATAGACATATCTCAGTCTTTTTTTCAAACTACATGATAATAACCATTATGTCCTTTTAGTATCTCCCATATATATAGATAGATAGATAAGCACATTTAGATTTATCGTACCTAACTCGCTAATAGATACAGGGCACTATAACAAAATCAGAAAAAATTGTAACAATTAGGTCATGTTTGTTTGGGTGGACATGAGCTTGGGATTGGACTAATAGTCCAATAAAATTATTAATCCGATATTTGGTTAAACAATTGAAGTACGGATTAATTATTTTAAACTTGACTATTAGTTAAGATAGGATACATAATCCAACGGATTAGTAGTCCTAGGACTATTAGTCATAGGAATACTAATCCAGTCCGCCCAAACAAACATGGCCTTAAAAGACAACTAATTACATATAGGCACAATTTTTTTTCAAAGTAGATTAAAACAAAATGTTTGTTTGACCTAGTAATTTTTTTAGTTGGTGCAACAAACTTGTACTATGATTGCTATTTACTTCTTGCCCACTAAGACTACTATGTCTTGACAATGTTTTCAAAATAGAATATGTTGCACAAGATTGAAAAAAAGAAGAAAAAAAAAAAGAGCATTGAATCTCAATGTTGAAGCATTCAAACCAAGTACAAGTATCATAGCGTAGGAAACATGGGATGTTAGGGTATGTTTGTTTAGATGGACTGGATAAAGAGAGATTGTAATCCACCGGACTATTAGTCTTGGGATACATTGTCTCCGAACTATTTGATTGGACTGAATTTATATCCTATATTTGTTTAGTCATGTGAATAGTACAAGTCATACACGGAGCTATGCTATTGTATGATTGTATGATTCAAATTATTGAGGGACTTATATGTACGTCTAATTAAGTAAATTTATTGTCTAATAGGTCCTATACTAATTAATGGCATTTTTCATCATACACTATTAAAACAATTTCCTAATTTTTATTTTTCAGTGATAGTTTAAAAATTTTGGCACAAAAAAGTCACAATTATAAGTTTTAACAACAATTTAAAAAAATCGTCACAAAAAAAAAATTACTAATTTTCAACTTCCAACAATAATTTAAAAAATTTGTTATCAAAAAAAAAGTCACTAATTGTCAATTTTTAGCGACATATATAAAAAAAATCACAAAAAATTATTTTTAGTGACAATTATTCTAAGACTTATTTTCAATAAAACTTTATGAAAATTAAGTCCAATTATTATGACCTATTGGTAGTTAAAAATTGTTTTCTATACAGATATATATTTATCAATTTATGGCCAAAAATAATATAAAAAAAGTTAATGAAAAAAGGTTTTAAAATGAGTTGATTTAGCAATCGTTTAGGGTTGATTTTTTGTGATTTTTAGTTTTTTGGCTTTTTTAGGAGTTTAAAAAGTTATACAGATATATATTTATCAATTTATGGCCAAAAATAATATAAAAAAAGTTAATGAAAAAAAGTTTTAAAATGAGTTGATTTAGCGGTTGCTTAGGGTTGATTTTTTATAATTTTTAGTTTTTTGGCTTGTTTAAGAGTTTAAAAAGCTATACAGATATATATTTATCAATTTATGGCCAAAAACAATATAAAAAAAGTTAATGAAATTTTTTTTTAAAATGAGTTG